TCAACAAATCATCTTTCTCACGGTTACCCTGGTTCACACACACATTCTCTCACGCGCACACTGAAATCCAAAGCCACACATAGACACTCTTACATACTTGCATTCATACAACACACACACACACACAGAATGTGGCTTCATACACACATACAACCACACACTGACCAGTACTGTACACACTGAACGGTACTCATATGCACAATCGCTCACAAGCACATTGATGAATGGACTGTGAACATGGACCCGGATGCGTTAAGTCCGTGTGTGAATTTTTAAATTCAATGTAAAATCATTTCTCTGCATTCGGTACTCATCAGACTGTGCCCCGAGCAAAGGCTGGAAGAATAAAACACAAACAGTGCAGAGAAAACGACATACCAAAAACTTCTCCCAGGTCCGTGGCCCATTTGTACCAGATGTTCTCTCCGTTTTTGGTGGTGCTGTGTTCCATCTTGCCTGCTGGCGCCAGGTAATTTGCCCATTCTTGGCATTCCTTGGTTATCTCTTTATTGTATGTGAGCGGTGGTGCTTGATGGATTTTCCTGTAGGAATTGTGAGCCTCCAATGCTTCCAACTCATATTTACTGAGCTCTGAAGATGCAACAGAAGAGCTTACATTGTTTCTTGGCATTTTAGAGGGTGAGTGCAGAATTATTATTATATAATAATCCTTGCATTTGATATAGCGCCTTATCACATCATTGGGACGTCTCAACGAGCTTCACAGGATACACTGTAAAGTGCAGTGACTGTGCATTTTGTGGGCGAAACGGGCAGAGAGTTTGCGCACTGCAATGTCCCACAAACAGCCGTGAAGTGAGCGATCAATTTTATTGGGGGATTTGTTGGTCAGGACACCGGGAGAAAGAATTTCCCTAATTTTCATCGTCCATCTGAACAGGCAGACGGGACCTCAGTTGAACATCTCATCCGAAGGATGGCACCTCTAACACTGCAACACCCCACCCAGCACTGCGCTGCACCCCTGGACTGTGAGTTCAAAGTCCCGACGTGTAGCTTGAATCTGCAGCCTTTTGACTCAGATGCGAGAGAGCTACCGACTGTAATCCCTTCTTTGGAAGGACAGCAGCACCCAGAAAGTAATTGATGGCTATTTTCATGATGCATTAGTCATACCGTTATCCTCGCTCATGTCTGAAAGGCCTCACTCAGTCTTCTGACAACTTGGATGTCAAGTGGCACCAAAGGCTGTGTCTGAGAAGCGTTTCTTCTGTTGAAACAAGGAGCGGTCGACACTGCAGAAGGCAGATTTTTTTTTCAGCTAAAACAGAAGCTCAGTAAAACCCACGTGTGGGATGGGTGGTCTTAGTTGGGCAACAGGCGGGGAGCGCGACAATGACTATTTGAGATAGTGTGAAGCTGTTTAAATTCCAGCAGTTACCCCAACACTCACTCTGGTTGGCCCCAAGTCAAAATGCTTGGGAGAAAGTGCGCATTCCATCCCGGATAACGGGAAATTTCCACGCCTTTGTGGAGCTCTCAGTTAATTTGGTTTGGAGACTCTTAAGCACAGCCATGGGGGGATTTCAGGTCTCAGTCTCCTCCAGCTGGACAAGGTGAATGGCCAAATACTGTTCCTGTCTGCACTATTGATCAGCTGTTGGAAATGTGGCTCCCCCCCACCCCCTCCACCCCCCATTTCAGGTAGTTAAATGTTTCAAAGAACATCATGGAGTTGGAGTGCAAACTGCAGCAAAGTGAGAAACAGGGGGTAAAAAGGGAGTCACTGAAGGTGCAATTGGAGACGTGGAACACAGTAAGAGGGGGAATCCCTATCATTGTGGTACAGGAGGAGAGGGGGAATCAACATCATCCATATACACACAGTGAGAGGGGGAATCAACATCATCCATATACACACAGTGAGAGGGGGAATCAACATCATCCATATACACACAGTGAGAGGGGGAATCAACATCATCCATATACACACAGTGAGAGGGGGAATCAACATCGTCCATATACACACAGTGAGAGGGGGAATCAACATCATCCAAATAGACACACAGTGAGAGGGGGAATCAATATCATTTTGATACACAGTGAGAGGGGGAATCAATATCATTTTGATACACAGTGAGAGGGGGAATCAATATCATTCCGATACACAGTGAGAGAGGGAATCAATATCATTCCGATACACAGTGAGAGAGGGGATCAATATCATTCAGTTTCCCATCCACGTGGATGTATGTAACAATGGCTCTTGGGCGCTGGGTATCTGCCCCCAGAGCCCCTGACCCTGACCCTGACCCTGAGCCCCAGAGCCCCTGACCCTGAGCCCCAGACCCTGAGCCCCTGACCCTGAGCCCCTGACCCTCTGGTGCTTCTAACCTGGCGTCTCACTGATCGGATCAAATCATTCGGGTACCTATTGTGTCCGATGTCCGACTTCATCAGATCCCCCCCTGTGGGCTCGGGCTGTGCTGTTTGTCGGCTCCGTCCCTCTGCGGTCAGTTGTTGTGGTGTTGTTTGGCTGTCACTCCCTCGTCACTATCGCTGTCTCTCGCCCGTCACCCCTCACAGTGCCTTGTGCCGCCTGTGTCAACCCCCTCACTGTGCAAAGCCCCAGTGATGAGCTTCCCACCAGTCTCACTCTCCCCTCACTCTCCCCTCACTCCCTAAGCCAACAGCATCCCTCTTGCTCAGTCCTGTTGGGGATGAGCATCACCCTTTCCCCGTCACTCCTCTCTCACTCTCTGCTGCACTTCCTCCCTCCCTCCCAAGTATCTCAACTGGATCTCACTGCCCTCTTGGAACTCCCCATCATCAGTGACCCTGCCATCGCCCCCCCCTCCACCGCTCCCCACCCCCACCCCCACCGCCCCCCTGGAAACCCCATCACTCGCTCAGTCCCCGCCATCTCAGGTCAGTAAAGACACTTTTTAAGAGTCTCCCTCTGTGGTTTTCCTGCCCTCGGCCGCGTCACTCGACCACTTCGGATGACGGCCCGGCTCCCCTCTGCTCTCGGCGATAAATTGTTATTGGAACGTAGTAAAAATGATCAGTATTAGGATAATGCTCGGGTTTGATGTAGCGCCTGATCGCGGCATCGAGAGACGTCTCAAAACACTCGCCCGGGATATACGGTAAAGTGGTTGGGTGAACCGCCGTGTTAACCGGTGTCGAGAGAGAGCCGCGGTCAGGGGTACGGTTAACAGCTGGTCCTCACAGACGGGCTTTACCGTGGGACTCGTCACCACTTCCCACTTTCATTGTAAAGAAACGCGTCAAGAGATTTTGTGCCGGAGGCGAGAGGGTGGTGTATATTTACCAGGATGTCTCTGGGATGACAGGATACCACCATGAGGAAAGGAACTCATATTGGGATTTCCCCCCTGGAGGCGAGAAGGTTGATACCGCGGGTGAGGCGGCGTTTAGTAATACGGTGAGGCGAGAAAGTGGAACTCATTGCCAGAATCATCAGTTAATTTCTCCTTCTCCCGGTATCCTGGCCAACGGTCCTCCAGATAACATCGTGGAATCCCGTCGAGTGTCGGTTAGAACGCTAGCCTTGCAATCAAGAGCACCCGGGTTTGCTTCCCGATCGGGGTGAAACCTTACTCCACACTCCTCTGTTTACCTGACAGGAAGTAGGATCCTGGTTGTTAGTCGATTGGCAGATCACTTTCCGGGGATAATAATCCCTTAGAAAAAGAATCGGGTCACTCAAGCCCACGGCTGTTTGCGGGACGCTGCTGTGCACAATTGGCTGCCGTGCGATGCTCACAAGTATACAGTCAGACAGCTCGATGATGTGATAAGGCGGGTTATCAAATGCAAGAATTATTATTATCGAGTTCATGGCTGCGGGTAGATAGGACTGTGCGCTGTGAGCAAATTGGGTGCCTCCTTCGTCTACAAAACACAAAGTCCCTACACTTTACAGTAAAATCCTGAAGCCCTTTGAGATGTTTTGACAGCGGAGCCCATTATCTGGTGGGAGATTATTACTCCTCGATGGGAAGGAGAGGGGAAGAACCGACCAACATTATCTGCGAGAAACTCCGCAGTCCGCTTACCTCGTCACATTCACTCACACGCCTCCCGCTGCTGGCCACGAGCTCCTCTCCGAGGGCAGGTAGGAAAACAGGGGGAAAATACGGCAATTCCCGGGAAAGAAGATATACCGGGAAACTTTCTGCTGGGGATCGGTCAACATCAGCATCGCTCAATATCTCCTTTACCCTGACACACCCTGTAACAGGATAAATGGTACGCTATTCCGCGTGAAGGATGCTATATAAATGCAAGTTGTTGTTTTTGTTGTAACACTACGGTGTACATCACGTGGCCCCCAAAAAAAACTTTTGGTCGCTCAATCCACAGCTGTTTATGGGACACCGCTGTGTGGAATTGGCTGCCACGTTTCACTCACAAAATACACAGTCGATCCACTTTACAGTGTGTTTTGTGAAACGCTTTCAGACGTCTCAAAGACACGATAAGACGCTGTATCAAATGGAAGGATTATTATTATTATATAAAGATTTACTCAGGGCTGAGGTCCACACTGGACAGAACAGAGTGAATCCAAACTACTTTTATTTCAATTTGCTTAAACTCCGAAAGCAGTGAGAGTTCTGAAGGAAAGACTCCACGAATCCCAATATATTACCTTAGAAATTTGCTCTGAATATAATATGTACAGGACATGAATAAAATCTAAACATATCATAGATCCGCCGTAGCCCAGGAACGGCTTCTCCCACTAAAGGGACAAGTGTACCTTTCGTTCCCTTCGCTGGCGGCTTGTCCAGGCTGACCTCTGAACTGCTCTGGGCGAGGAGCTGAGGTTTAAGGAGGAGATTCGGGTGTGCAACATACTGGAAAAACAGCCGTAATCTTCCTAAAACAGCGTGCGAGGGTTCAATCCCCTGCCCCCAAAACTGGGGACGATTCGAATAGTTCGTCAACATTCTCCCCCCTAATCCTTCCGCCTTGCCCCCTCCTTCCCCTCTTTTAGATCATGACTTGAAGACCTTCCTCTTGGACGGTGCTTTAGGTCATATCCTCCCTCCTCCACCCCCGCCTCCGCCGTTGTTAAGCGCTCTTTGACGCCGCCCCGCCTGAAGGCTGCTGTGTAAGTACAAGTTGTTGCTGCTAACTTTCAACTCATTGAAATTCACAGACACTGTCCGCACACACTGACTACAAACATCGTATCTCTGTACCAAAGCCGCTCCGTTCCCAGGCCCCTTCCCACCCGCTTTCCACAGCCCCCTCCCCTCCTCCTCGTACCTGGGCCTAAGCACACAGCACCCCCCGCCCCACCCCCGCCTAGAGCCCACAGACGTTCTTTGGGAAGGTTCTTTGGGAAGGCTCCTGGATTATACACATTGCGAAGATTTTTAAGGGATGCTCAGGATTCGGGATGTCGACATGCTGCTTCAGCTTAGAAACTAAAAGTGGGAAAAGAGTGAGCATCAGTGCGGATGCAACGTGCATCAAATGTCTATACAAAGCGTCGGAAACTAACTCGTCCTGAGGACATCAGGGCTTCTCTCGCTCTCTCACCATTAGTCCATTGCACATCAGTCCATTGTAATAAAAAATATACAAAAAGGTTCTAAATTAAACAATACAGTGATAGCAGTTCAGTAAAACCCCCCCCAGGCCTTGACAGCGATGGCGTGTGGCAGTGGATGGCAAACAGGCATGGCTAGTGCCAGCCCAGTCAGCAGGTTCTCTGTTCGCTCAGTCCCATTCGTCTCTCTGGTGGAACTCCAGTGTGGGGAAGCAATGGCTTTTCTGGTCCACAGGACAGGACAGGGGAGAGAAAGTCGCCTTGTCGATTCACGTTTAACATTGTGCACAGCACTGGCCTCCACCGATTCCGGTCCTGATCTTCCAGTGAAAGTGAGAGAGCTTCCAATTGTCCGCAAGAAAGACCACGGTCTCAAAAGTCCGTCCCCAACACAGTGAAGCTCCAATGGCCGCCACACCCGAGTGTGGTCCTGTTCGAGTGAGTGGTCAGATGTGACCCGAGATTAAAATATGAACCCCGTCCTACGGATGAGACGTTAAACTGAGGTCCCGCCCGCGTCTGTCCAGGCGCATGTTAAAGACCTCATGGCACAACTCAAAAAGAGAAGGGAGTTTCTCTCTCCCGGTGTCCTGGCCGACAATGACCCAGATCAGATTCACCTCGTGCTCATTTTGGGAGGCGCTGCAGGGCACGCAATCGGCTGCCGCGTTGCCCTACAAAACACACAGTCACTCCATTGGACACTGATTCCTGTGAAGCCCGTTGAGGCGTTTTGACTTTATAATCAAACGCAAAGGCAAGTGTTATCGATGTGAACGGCCAATGCGGCCGATTGGGGCACGAGGGACTGGGTGAGGCCGCAGAGGCTGAGATGTCCTTCAGTGTTCAACCCTAACCCTAACCTCGGTGGGCGAGCACTAGGACAGGCTGACCAGCTGCTCCTGGAAGAAATGGTGGATGCGCTCGAAGACCGGTCGATCCTTGATATCTCGGCTCCAGCAGCCGACCATAACCTCGAAGATATGCTTCGGGCAGATGGAGGGCTGCGACAGGTAGGTCTGCGGAGAGAGAGTTAGCAGTTAGCAGCACAGTGCTGGGGCAGCCCGGCATTCGCCCATTCACCTGACAGGTCCACCTGCTTGTGCTCTAGCCCCACCCACTCAAGCACTGGCCCCACTTGATGACTGGCCCCACACGCCTGATCACTGGCTGCACCCACTCTCACTGGTCACACTCACTCTATCACTGGTCACACTCACTCTCTCGATCACTGGCCACAGGCACACTCTCGATCACTGGCCACACCCACTCTAGCACTGGCCGCACCAACTCTAGCACTGGCCGCACACACTCAGGCACTGGCCGCACACACTGGCACTGGCCGCACCCACTCTAGCACTGGCCGCACCCACTCTAGCAGTGGTCGCACCCACTCTAGCACTGGCTGCACCCACTCTAGCACTGGCCGCACCCACTCTAGCACTGGCCGCACCCACTCTAGCACTGGCCGCACCCATTCTAGCACTGGCCACACCTGCTCAACCACTGATCACACCCATCCACTGGCCATGCTTGCTCACCATGTTCCCGTGAGTTTACCTGCCGGCCTTGATTCCGGAAAAATTCTCCCGTGTTCTCGATGATCTGCTCGTCGGTCAGCTGGGAATACGGTTGCTCTTTACAGAAGGTGAACATCTCCCACAGAGTGACTCCAAACGCCCACACATCACTTGCGGTCGTGAATTTCCCCTGTGAAAATAAACACCGTCAGCTTCTCCTGTGGATCCAGCATCAGCCAGGATCTTCCCCCCCGCCCCCTACACCCCTCCACAGCCCCCTCAATCAGCCATAAACACCCACAAACAGTCCCCCCATCACAATCAGCCAGAAACCCCCCCCACCCTCCCCACTTACACAACCCCCCCATCACAGCCAGCCTCAGCCAGTAACTGCCTGCACACCCTACACTCTACCTCATTCCTGACAAGCCACCATCCCATCCCCCACCCCCCCACTGCTGGCTGGAGCTTGTGGTCCTGCCCAAACACTCACCAGCAAGATGCTCTCCCAGGCCATCCAGCGGATGGGCAGCACGGCACGGCCCTGGATGCGATAGTAATCCCCGCTGTATAGGTTGCGGCTCATGCCGAAGTCAGCGATCTTGATGGTGGAATGATGGCCCACCAGGCAGTTGCGGGTTGCCAGGTCCCTGTGCACAAACTTGAGAGAGGACAGGTACTGCATGCCCGAGGCAATCTGCGTGCCCATGTGCAGCAGGCACCGGTAACTGCGGGGGAGAGAAGCCATGGCATCAACTACAAAGTCAGCCCCGGGCGCCTCATCCCCCCCACACCTGCCCCCGCCCGCTCGCACTGTGAATTAGGAGAAATGTCAATTGTCTATGTTTTGCACTTCGATTTCTTCAATGCTAACTCCCTGCTCGTCGGTCGTCCCAACTCTTCCCTCCGCAAGCTAATGCATTGTTCAGAATTCCACAGCTCATGTCCTCTCCCGGACCAAGCTCTGCGACATTATCATCCCCACCCTCGCCCAACTCCACTGGCTCCCCATCCCCCAGAGGATGGAGTTCAAAATCGTCCTTGCTTTCAAGGGCTTACTCCTCCCTACCTCTGCGGCCAACTAAAACGTGACCAACCTGTCCGCTCGCTCAGCCTGCTGCATGTTCCCTGCCTGCCTTCCATCTCCTCCCAACTCCAACCCCCAGCTCGGATGCAAACCCTCCGCTGTCCAGCGCATTATGCGGGAAGACCTCCTGATGCGAAAGGCGCTGTGTAAATGCAATTTGTTGCTTTGTTTTGTTGTTGCTGCTGTATGTTATCGGGTGGTTGGTGTGGAGGACAGGAGCCTCCTACCTGACACTGGGGATGTTGTTGGCCAGGGTGAATTGGTTCTCTAGCTCCCGCTGATACAGGAACTGGTTGAGATCCCCATTCTCCATGTACTCGGTGACCATGCAGAGAGGATCATCGTGGATGCAGACTCCCAGCAGACGGATGATGTTGGGGTTGTTGAGCCGGGACATGACCTTCACCTCCTTGAGGAAGTTGTTCCTGAAAACGCAAGACACGTGGTTAACAAGAGAGGCCCGGCTGGTGTACAGCCTGGCTCAGCGGGGAGCGCTTTCGCCACTGGGGAAGAAGGTTGTGGGTTCAAGCCCCAGGTCAGGACTTTGAGCTCACAGTCTCACATCAAGACTGATTGCTTTCCGGGAATGATAATCCCTCAGAAAATAATTTGGTCACTCACTCCACGATTGTTTGAGGGACACAGATATGTAGAATTGGCTGACATCTTTTGCCCACAAATTACACAGGATATCCAGTGAAACGCTTTGAGACGTCTCAATGATAAAGCGCTGTTATCAAATACAAGGATTATTATTATTATTAATAACAAAATTACATTTATATAGTGCCTTTCATGTCAGAAGGACACCCTAAAGTGCTGGACAGTTAAGGGTTTGCACCCGAGCTAGGTGGGAGGTTGAGAGTGGGGGGGTGGGGGTGGGGGGAAAGGGTAGGAGGGTGATCGAAAGCAGGATCAAAGAGGAACGTCTTGAGATGGGCCTTGAAGGAGGCGAGGGAGGAGGCGAGGCAGAGGCATTCCAGGATGGAGATCCAGAGAAAAGGGAACGGTGTTGGGCGTGCGCTGCATTGGCAAAGATACCGATACTGGGCGAAGACACGGGGGTCTGCTCTACCTGGCATTTTTGGTGGCGTCCGAACGAAGCATCTTCACAGCCACCAGAACAGGTTTGTGACGGCCACTGAAACACAGCTCGGGTCCTGGGCTCTCCTGCAGACCCTGGGCTTCACACAGGTGAACCTGGACAGAAGGGGGAGAGGAGGGTGGGGCGGAGGGAAAGGCAATCAGCACGGTCCAGGGCAGGTTACGCTCACACGCACCAGGGCATCAGGCTCACACTCGCCATCCCCACACTTGACCCCACTATGGAACAGGCTCCCTCAGGAGGCAGATGGTGGAAGCAGAAAGCGTTGATTCTCTTAAAAGCGAAGTGAGGTAAGATTTATTTTAGTAAATAATATCTAGGGATTCAGTGTATAGTTTGGGTACACGACATGACCTTTTGTCCAGCAATTCTTAAGTTAGCACTCACACTTATCTCTGTTTGACACTCACACTCCCCCACTCCCCCTACCTCGCCTCACACGGTTAAAAGGACACTCACCTCCCCAAACTGCCCCTCCCCCAGCTTCTCCTTGAAGCGCAGCTGGTGTCGAGAGATCTCGCCCACCGCCAGCTCCAACTTGATGAGGGAGTCCACGGTTACCGCGGGAACGGCGTAGGTGTTGTTGCCGGTCACGCCCTGCAGGTTAACGATGTCGGCCTCGGCGTAGTGCGGCACCTTGTTCTGGAAGCCCTGGTGCGGGGTGGCCTTGGTCACGTCTGGCTCTGCGTAGTCACCGCTGCACACTGAGCCGGAGCAGTCAACACTCAGCACCAACTTCAGTCTCACACAGTACCCTGACACAACTCCTCAACCCAACGCCTCCACCCAATGCATCAAACCAGGGCTCACAACAGAGCCTCCCCTGCGTATCGCCTCCCATATACCCCTAACCCCACCCACACCCTCCTCAGCCCGTCCCCATTCCCAATCACCAGCCTCACTCACCTACCCGATCCCTGGGTCCGACCCGATCACATGACCCCAACCCCCACCCCTTCCCCACACCAACTCTACGACACTTACCCGAGTCCTCGGCGCTCTGAGAAAGTTCCGGCAGCTTGCGTAACAGCCTGGCTGGCTCCTGGTACTGCAAGTCGAGGGGAAAGACCGTCTCGTACGTGGGGTTGGTCTGGAATATCTGAGTCTGGCTGTTGATGATGATGGAATCGTCACACAGGGACAGGTGCACAGTGACGTCCTCCTCCAGGATACGCCGGGGAGCCTGTGGGGGAGGAGAGGGGAGGGGGCACAGCTTATAGACGTGGCAGGGGATTGCACACCCGAGCCCAGCACAACCCCTTGTGTACCCACTGCCACTTGTACCTCAAGACGGTTTGTGGGTTGAAGTCCCACGGTGAGAGGTTGAACTAAATGACGCATCCGCGGTGTAGATTCTTTAATGAATCGGATTTGAGATGACTTGATGGCTTGTACAGTTTACCTGCAACTCCGACCTCGGTAAGTCATGTTATGGTCCAGACTGATACGATTTAATGTGAGTTTTACTGCGTTATTAACAATGCGGCAGATAAAGACGGTTTGTGGGATACTGTTTTTCCCAAGGGTGAGAGAGTGTGTGTGTGTATGTGTGTGGTGTGTGTGCGCGCAAGGGGTGGAGGAGGGAGGGAGCGGGTTGCCAGGAGGGGGGGGGGTCGTGGGTTTCCGGGGGGGGTTATTGCCATGGTAATGGACCTCACACCTTCTCCAGCAGCCGCCGCCAGTGCTGCCGCCACAGGATGACGATGATGATGATGATGAGGAGGAGGATGATGGTCACCAGGCAGCCAATCAGAATGGAGGTGTTGCTTTCGTCAGCTCGGTGCTCGGGGCCGGTGACGGCCGAAGGGGCGACGGTGACTGGAGAGGGACCGAGCAATACGTCAACACACGGAAATCCATGGCAACACACATCAACGCATACCAACATACTTCCAACACATGCCAATGCACGGCAACACAGATCAACACGTCAACACAGTGAGAGGGGGGAGAGCGGGACTGCGGGGAGATGGGGGAGGAGAGAGTGGGAGTGCAGAATGTCAGAGAGGACCTTACCCAGCATTACATTCTGCGTCTGTGTTGGAGTTGGGGTGGGCTTGGAGCTGCAGTTGAGGCTGGGGTTTGGGGTGGGGCTGGTGAGGAGGTAGGGGAGGGAGCTGAGGGGGGGCGATGACGGTTTGGGGGACGTCAGCTCCTCCGCAGCTCGGCCGTTCTCCTCTCTGCGGGAAGGGTGCGGATTCTCCACCAAAGGATTCATTCCACCAGAATCTGCAACAAACAGGACCAAAGCTTCACTGTGACACCATCACCCCAACACTGAGCATCGCCAGAGAAACTGCCCATTCGCACGACCCGTTCCCCCACCCCCTACCCCCCCTTCCGCCTGCACACAATAGGGAGCCCCACCTGGAGAATCCCTCCCACCCACACCAACACGCACCCTGAGGCCTGAACCACAAAAATTTAACATAGTGGCTTTCACCTCGAGAGGATGTCCCAAGGTATTGAGGCATTAAATTAGGCACCAATAGAAAGACCTGCGGAAATCCGACTTCCAAAATTAAGAGTGAATTTAGGATTTTTTCTAAAATCCCAAACACACTCCTGTGAAGTGAGTGATGGGCATTTTTTTCTTTTTAACTTGGGGGGGGACTTGTTAATAATAATGATAATAATCCTCGCATTTGATATCGCGCCTTGTCACGTCATTGAGACGTATCAAAGCGCTTAACGGGATCTCCTGTAGAGTGCAGTGACTTGTGTATTTTGCCGGCGAAAATTGTTCGCTCCAGCCTTCTGCATGTCCCTCGTCCACTCCGTTCCACCATCGGCGGCCGCGCTTTCGGCCACTACACCCTGAAACTCTTCCTCTATCCCTCCGCTTTGCTCCTTCCTTCTTCTTCTACCGTGCCTACGATCACCTCCCCCCTTTACCCCGGCTCAGCATCAGGCTCTGCCACCGTCAAGCGCACTGGGATACTTCTCTGCGTGAGGGGCGCTGTGTAAATGCAAGTTGTTGTTTTTGTTCTAGTGCGTTGAGATGCGATTGCCTCACCCATGACCTGGGACTGGAAGGAGATCTCGCTGAACATCAGCCAGGTGTCTGCGAAGTGGAAGCGGCAGCGGATGGCCTTGCCCACCCGGTGCTGTAACGGGACCATCACGAAGCGGGCGCTGGGGTTCTTGTCGTCGATCACCGTGCCCACCCCCACCGCCTCCCGCTCCCAGTTTGCCACCAGCTGCTGCTTGAAGAAGCAATCCACCTTGCGGAAGATTTTCACCGCCTTGGAGAACAGGTTGTTACAGTGCACCTACAGTGGACAGGGTGTGGGAGGGGAGAGACATCGAGACACTGAGCACTGAGCAAACCGTGCACATGCCGTGCCGTGTGCCATGTGGTCAACCTCACGTTGAAAGAGTTACACAACTCACCCCCTCACTCTCTGACCTCTCACTGGGTTGATCTGTGTCGACACGCATTGGCATGTGATCATGTGCGTTGATCTGTGGTTCCACGGATTGGAGCGTGTTGACGTGTTAGGGTGCGAGAGTGTCTGTAATTAAGCAATTAAGCCCTGCCTATCCTGTGTACCCTGAATGTGTTACGTACCAAGTGTGTGCTTGATGTCTCGTTTGCGTTGTATGCTCCAGCTGCCCTGTATCTGCTGTATACCCTGTGTATGCTGTGAGTGCCTTGTGTGTACTGTGTGGGGCCTGTATGCCCTGTACGCTCTGTGCACTATGTCACAGTAGGAAGCTGCCCCTCTTGACTTGCCTTCATCGAGGTGAAGTTTCTCCGCTGGTCGAACTCGAACTCCAGCTCCACGTAGCCTTGGCGATGGCTGCGGTTGGTCCAGCCCACGTAGTCATAGCCCGGCCACACCCGGTACTCATGGCTCTGGGTAAAGTCATCCAGGCCCAGCACTCCGTCAGTCAGCTGTCCCAGGCCCCCGTGTCTACGTCTGTTAGCAACACACACAGTCAGTCAGCCGGGGGGTGGGAGTGGGGGGGGAAGAAAGGGCTCACAGGAGAGGCAGCCTCAGGCTACAGGACTCCACACAGAGGATTGGGTATTGGGCACAGGCAGTGTCAAGCAGAGGTAACAACCATCCCTCGGGGTGGGGGAGACAGGTCTGGGGAGAGTGTCAGGGGAACCTCAGGCTCCTCGACAAATTGCAAGTCAAGAGCAGTAGAGCCCTCCCTGGACCAGGCAGAACGGAAAGAGCAAGAGCTGGCTGCACTATCATGGATCCACCACAAGATGTCACCAGCGATTCATTGAGTTGCCAGTGATTACACTTCAACTAAATGGGACGAGTTCGTAATTTGTAGGCGAACAGCAGTGTCCTGCAAACAGTCATGAAGTGAGCGACCAATTTTATGTGGGGGATTGTCGGCCAGGACATTGGGAGAGAGAACCTCCCCTCTCTTTTCGAATAGCGCCGTGGGATCTTTCACATCCACCCGAACAGGCAGGAGATGGGACCTCGGTTTAACGTCTCATCCAAGGGACGTCTTGACGTGGGGGTTTGAACACACAAGCTCCTGACTGGGAGGCGAGAGAGTGCTTGTGTCTGGGGGCAGACAGCGAGGGGCAGAACGTGACCTTGAACCTTCTCTCCTCTCACCTGGCGTCTCGGAACCCGTCGTAAGTGGAGTCATTCAGGTAAACAATGGCCGAACCCGGGTTGGCGATGATCTGTCCCACAGGCTCGCTGTACGAGGAGAGACCGTCTGAAAGACACCACCCTGCGAATCAGATACACTCTGGAGCCGTCTCCACCTCATCTCGCTACCACCCACCACCTCGCCCCCATCTCCATACCTCCCTAAACGTGCCTCTGTGAACAACCCGTATCCCCGCCACGCACAGTGCCCACCCCCACACCACCCCCACCCCCAACTCAACTGAAACCTCAACAGTCCGTTGAGGCTCCAATACCTAAATCAGGGTATTAGCTAGATTGCACCTTCCCCAACCCCCCTCCCTCCCACCCTCCACAATGTCCCCCACCCCCCCCCCCCACTCCACAACATCCTCAGCAGCTGAGACGCCGGAGACGGTCTCGACACCCTCCTCACCCCCCCCCCCCCCAACCCCCCACTCACCGGCCCACACACAGCCGTACAGCTCGAGCCTCATACACACGCTCATCGGCTGCTTTGTGACCGGAATGACCCTCACGTAGCGGGCGATGATCGGCGGCCGCAGATCCTTCAGGACGATCTCGTACGTGTTACTGTTCCCTTCGATCAGCTGCAAACAGCGAAAGATGTCACCCAGCGGTCGGCCAGGCAGCCCCTTACCGCCCACTGCCCACCCACTGGCCGCTCAAAACCCCCACCCCACCCACCCACCCACACACACACACCATCCTCTCCCCCTGACCAGCAAAGCGCCCACGGACGTCTCCAATGCTGGGCTGAGCTGCTCTCAGCCCTGGACAAGAAGAGACAGTCTGAAAAAACACCAGCAGGTGAATTAACCAATAATTAAGTAATAATAATCCTGCGTTTGATACAGTGCCTTATCCTGTTGTTGAGAATACACCGTAAAGTGAATTGACTTATGTATTTTGTGGGCGAAACGCAGCAGCCAATTGCTCGCAGCAGCGTCCCCGCAAACAGCGGTGGATTTAGTGACCCAAGTGTTATTTCTGCGAGAGAAAAAAATTTCGACTGTAACCTTGAAGAGGATTGGAGCTCTCCCCACCTTCCCCTCCCCTCCTCACCTCCCCCTCTCCCTCTCCCCATGCCCCTTGGCCCCACCGCTCACCCGCCTCCCCTGCCGATCTCTCCAGGACAGCCAGCGTTCCCCGTCACGGCTGTAGTCCAGCTGGTAGGCTCGGGCAAACTCGTTGCCGCTGCCGTAGGCGTGCCGGCCCTGGGTGCCCATCAGGGTGATGAAGTTGAGGGAGTGCAGGTCGATCTGCAGGTACTCCACGCTGTCCGGGTACAGGAGGCCGACCGGACACCAGGCTCCGTCCCCGTCCTCCTTCTCCAGTCTGCGACCGCACAGTCCTCCAGTCACAAGAGCCTCAGCACCGATCCCCACCCACACACACACACACGCTCCAGCCCCAACCACCCACAGAAACTACTCCTTCTCCCACCCACACACACACACCCCTCTCCCCCACACATATACCCCTCCCCCACTGCCCACCCACACATACGGTCCCCCCACACAGACATCCCCCCACCACACAAAGACAACCCCCTTTCTCCCCCCACACACACATTTACCTGCCAAATCGGGCTCCCGTAGACTCGTACCACTCGCTGGACGCTGTGATGTCTTTGTCCCCGATCGTCCCATCTTGCATCCCCAGTGCATAGCGGCACAAGCCTGGCAGAGGCAGAGGGTAGCTCAGTCACACTCAGACCATCACCAGCGCTGAGACAGAGCCCTTCACACAGGATCACAACACGGCCTTCTCCCCCTACCCCAGAGCCTCCCTCCGCATACACACTCTCTCTCCTTCCCTTCCACAACCTCCCACCACCTCCAGCCTCCCTCCACCTCCCACCCCACCCCTCCTGACCCGCAGAATCAATTCCTCCCCACTGCTCTCCTCGTAGCCTTTAACCAAGGAGACCGGACTGTGCTGGAGGGTTCTGCACCCAGTGATGACCCAGAGCAGCTCCTCACCAGGGTTAACTTGTGCTTTGGAATTTCCGGAGTAATGAAGAAACAGCAGGAAGCAGAGAAGCATTGTGCGTTGGAAGAGCGTCTCGTTCAGCGAGAGACTAGACCCCTGGTTTAGGATTTAGTGAAGGACGTCCCGCTCTACATCTCTGGAAGAGGGGGGGAAAAAAAAGCATTTAACAAGCGGTAAATACAGAACAGTACAACTTTTTCCGTGTCCAGCATTTTGGTCCACACTGGAGTCTTGCCTTATACTGGTCCCTTGCCTTAACTCTTCCCAGCTATTCCCTCTCCCACACCTTGCAGCTCACTGCGCTGCATCGATGCAATTTGTTGTTGTTGTTGATGCTTCAACTCCAGGCTGTGAATCCAAAGTCAGCACAATTGTACACCAGGCGCTACCCTGGAGTGTAGCTTTGCAGCTCGCGAAGGGTTAACGGTTGAGTTGTATGCGGGGTGGGGAGTGGGGGGAAGAGAGGGAGAGGGAGAGTGAGAGAGAGAGAGGGAGAGAGAGTAGGGATACAGGCTAATTGAATGCAGATGAAGTGAAGAACACAACGGCATTGGAAACGGCCTGGGGGCACGTCAGGAACACAGGCCAAGCACAGGGCCCAGGATGTGCAACAGATGGAAAAGTTCAGAGAATTGGTTCCCTCTGCTGTAAAAAATGGTCACAAATTATGTATCTCTCTCTCTCTCTCCCCCCCCGCCCCCCCCCCCCACCCAGCCCACCCCCGTGGCTAAACAGTTGGAAGAATTCAAAGTCTTGGCTTGGTGAAGCTGGAGGGAGCGGGAAGCCGTTCCCGTCCTGCCCAGCGTGAGGCTAACGCACACTGTTAACCAAACAGACACTGTTTGGTCCCATCCGGTCACGGAGCTCGCATTGAACACTGCTCAGCCGGATGTCCGACACTTGTGGAAACCCATCACCGTGCTTAAAGAGTATCCAAGCCAAGCTGAGAACTCCACGTATCCGACCTAGACATGGAAATTCTAACTTCATCCTTTATGTTTCCAGTAAATAATCGCGAGTTGATGCCCCCTTGTTAACCATTCGCCAACCAAAGGAAATAATCTTTCACTCTTTACCCTCTCGAAACGCTTACGCAATTTGTAACACTTGCATTAAATCTCCTCTTAACCTTCTCTCCTACACTGAACCCAGCCAATGTGCAGCTGCCGAACAGTACCACAACATCAACATTGTCTTGTATTCCACTTGGCTCCGATCCTCTTGGCCGACAGTCCCCCAGATAAAATCGATCATCCGCTTCACAAAATCCAATTAATCTTAAAACTCCGTACCCCCATCACACCAGTCCTTGCCATGCTCCACTGGCTCCTCATAACTGAATGGATAGGTTTCAAGATTCTCTCTCTCGTCTACAAATCCAGTCATGCCCTGGCACCTCCCTACCTCTCCGACCAGCTTACTCCCCAACCCACTACCCGCTGCCTCTGCTTGACTGGCTCCAGCCTCCTGCTTGTCCCCCGTGCCCTCCGTTCCACTATCGGTGGCTGCGCTTTTCAGCCGCTAAGTCCCAAAACTCTGAAACACTCTTTCTCTATCCCTCCTCCTTGCCCACGCCTTTCCCATCTTCTGTTGACATCAAAGGTCCTATCTCAAATGCAAGGATAATTATGATTATAATTCCTTGGGAAGTGCTTTATATGGTTCAATGCCAACTCCTTCCAGGGAAGGGGAGAGGAGAGATGGGAGGAGTGGGGGGGAGAAAGGCTCGGGGTGGAGGGGTGAGAGGGAGAGAAGGAGAGGGGTCGGGAGGGGAAAGGGCAGGCTGGTAGGGAAGGGTGGGCGGAGGTATCTGGGACCAGGGGAGTTGAGGCTCTCAGTGACTGTGATGAATCGAGCGGCTTTGGCCAGGATCCAGGGCAGATTAGCCGTGGAATGTGCAACAACAAACAGTTAAACACCCGGCTGCAACCTCAGCCACAGGGGAAAAAGCTTACTGAGCAAGTCACTCAGACTGCACTCCCCACCCCTCCTCCTCCAAAACAGGGACCCCCCACCAATACAGGCCCCCACCTCCCGCCTCCCCCCTTGCAGAGACCACACCACTCACCGTGTGCCAAACCCTTTCGGTCACCATTGCGCTGAGCCCCCTCCCCTCCCAGTTAATTGCTGGAGTAAGAGTGCGAATTAGCGTGCGAGACGGAGTGCGACATTGAGTGTGAGTGCGGGGGAAGAGTGAGAGCGCATGTGTGTGTGTGTGTGTGTGTGTGTGTTCACCGAGTGTCCCCGGCCGGCACAGACCCCCCCCTCCCCCTGCTGATCGTACCCCCGTCCCACAACGTGACCGGTTCGGGCAGCACACGTGCACACACATGCACGCACACACACACACGCACACACACATAAACACACACGTGTCCCAGGTTTCTCATCGCTGATCACACGCTCTGCTTTGCCGTGTCTTAAGAGGTGATCTGCGAGCAGATTTTCGTGGAAAAGCAGCTGGATTAGGGGTGGGGGGCGGCGGGATTCAGTTTCCTCAAACCTCAGTGCAGCCCAGCAAATGCATGAAACACACACACACACACACACACACACAGGACAGCCATCAGCCATGTTTCACTTATGTTTCCCATACCATCCTAGATTATAAGCAAGGGAATTTTCCACTCCCTGCCCCCCACACCTCCCTGGCCACAGTGAAGCCCTCACCCTTGGAGACAGAGTTGAGACACAAACCAGAGGCGAGGTTTGGGAATCCAGTACCGGCTGACTCCGAGCTCCTTCACTCGCGCTCTCTCGTTCCGGAAACCAGTGAAATCTGAAACTTTCCCCTTTTCCTTCCTTCCATCCAGCAATTAATCTTCACGTCTCCGTCCCGCCTCCTTCTTACCACAGAGTTTAAATGATCCCCTTCCTCTCTCCCCCACAACACCACCCACCCCCATCCAGCCCCTCCCTCCCTCCCCTCTCCCTCAGGGCTGTGTCAGCTCTGCTCCAGAGAAACTAATGAGCTGTCAGATTTCAGCTGAACTTTTCCGAGGCGAGCCTATACATTAAGATGCCAAGCATGGCTCTCTCTCCCTCTCCCATTTCACGAGGGACTCTCTCTCTCTCTCTCTCTCGCTGGCAGCCAGCCCAGACCTCCAGCTGGAGCTCAGCCACAGCTCCAACAACTCAAAACAAATGTCCAAACCACAACACTCTCACACACACACTCACATAAACACACACACACACACACACACAAAGAAATATGCAAACACACACACACCCACTCCCACAAAGATATGCACACAGAGAGATACGCACACACACACACAGACACACACGCATACACTCACACAAAATTTGCACACACACATACACACACACACAGATACGCACATGCACTTACACAGACACATGCACAGGTTGCACACATACACACACAGGGATATGTACACAAACACACACACACACACACAAATTATGAGAACACTTTTCCAGGCCACGATCAGTGCAGAGGTTGGGAGAAACTCTTGCATCGTTTCGAATGTTGTCCCTTGCTATAATAATATTAATAACAAAAATCCTTGCATTGAGACTTCTGAAATCGCTTCACAGAATATATTCTGAAGCGGATTGACTATGCATTTTGCGGGAGAAACGCAGCAGCCAATTTCGCACAGCAGTGTCCCACAAACAGTCGTGGATTGAGTGACCACATTTTTGGGGGTCGGGGAAGATTATTATCCCAGAAAGCGAACCGCCAATCGTCTAACAACCGGGTTTCTATTTACTGCCTATAAGGAAATTTGGCTAAGGTTTCGCTCTGCCTGGGAATTGAACCCGGGTCCTCTCGCTTGCGAGGCGAGCGTCCTAACCACTACCCTACGGGGCTCCGCGTGTCCAATGGGAGCATGGCTAGCTCTCTCCTCGGAGGGAACGTGTAACAGTGGAGACATGCTCAAGAAGCGCTCAGGCATGGGACCAAGAGAGTGGCCATAAGGATTCAATCATCGGCGCCGAGGGAAGCGGCATGGAATGTTGTAGTTTATGACCGCTGTAAAGTTTTATGCTGGGCTGAGAGAGTGCAGTTCTGCCAGGATCACTCCCCGTGCCGGCCTGACGGTCTCCCTGGTTCGGGGAGGTATGTGTGTGCTCAGCGCGGGGGATCTTGGCTGCAGCGTCTGTGTCGATTGTTATTCATGGGAGAAATGAAACGTTCAGAAATTGAAAGCAGCTTGAAGCCGGTCTGTGTGACCAGCCCAGCCCAGCAACCAACGTCAGTGAGTGAGCAGGGCATCTCGCACAGGAAACTCAGCTACTTCACACCCAGGTGAGAGGCCAGTCTCCACGTGTTAAATACAATGATAATCATAGCTCCTTATCTCTGCTCATCTGTCTGTACCACCGGTGGTTGAGCCGTCAGTCACTAAAACCCCTGACCTCTTCCTCATCGTCCTTCCGTCCTTCCAGTGAGATGTTAAACCCAGGTGCCGTCTGCCTGTTCAGGTGGACGTTAAAGGATCCCGTGGCACTACTCGAAATGAGAAGGGTGTTCCTCTCTTCTGGTGTCCTGGCCAACAATCCACCCAAATAAAAATTGGTCACTCGTTCACTCATTCACTCACTCTATGGCTGTTAGTGGGACACTGCTGAGCACAAACTGGCTGCCAGGTTTTGTTTGCCCCACAGAATATAGTCAATTCATTTTACAGTATATTCTGTGAAGCGCTTTGATACGTCTCAACGACGCGATAAGGCGCTATATCAAATGCAAGGATTGTTATTAGATTATTAAACCCATTTACTTCCCACTTCAAACCCACAATGGACTCTGCCTCCAAAGGTTATTCCCACTGTGGGTGAATTGGCAACAGGGGAGAGAACAACATATTATATGAGCAAGAGTTTCGCCAGAGGAAATGTGAAACCCTGTGACAGCTAAAAGGAGTTGAAAAAGAGGACAAACAACAACGAGTAAACATAATGAATGATTACTTCTTGGAGATCTTTTAACTGAGGAAGACATGAACAATCTGCCGTCCAACAGTGTGAGCTCCAGGGCTTTCACATGAGCACAGCACACAGGCTCCAGTCAGGCTCCGCTGGCCAAAACGCAATGAATTCCTCCCCAGTAAAGAGAGATGCTGTGTTTCCAGGTCACCCAGAAGGAGGGAGAGAGGGAGCGAGGGAGGGAGGGAGGGAGAGAGGGAGATTCACACAGCGCTGATGGTCATTGTGAGACAAGTAGATGAATGCTTGAGAGGGATGGGGAGGGAACTGTAATAATCCTTGATATAGCACCTTATCACGCCGTTGAGACGTCTTCATAGGATATACTGTAAAGTTTGACTATATTTTCCTTTCCTTCCTTCCTTCCTTACTTACTTTATTTGAAAGGATTATTACCCCCGAAAAGCGATCAGCCAATCGAATAACAATCAGTTTCCTACTTAATGCTAGGTAAGCAAAGGTGTGTGGAGTGTGTCAAAGAGCCAAGGACACAGTCCATCATTGCATCTTCTGTCTGGACTGAATCTTTGGCAGCAAGAAGCTGTATAGGCTGAACCAGCTCTTGAGAAGCTGCCTAACTGGTGCCAAACTGAAGGGGCCCATCAGCCGAAATGACCGACCATGTCCCCTGTTACTCACCGCTTGGCAGCCTGTCCCGGGTCAGGACCACAAGGCCTGTAGGTCACTTCCTCTGCGGCTTGTGCCAACGTCCGACGGGATCGCTGAGGAAACACAGTGCATCGTGGGTTAACAGTGCGGTTCAAACACTCTTCTCCCTGTCAGGACCATCAAAGCCCATTTGTCCCACCTGACAATTCCCGCCCAACCGCCCCTTTCGCGTCATGACTGTTTGCGGGATATTGCTGTGTGCGTAACTGGCCGCCTCTTTCGCATACCAACAAAAATACACAGTCACTACACTTTACAGTGAATCCCGTGAAGTACTTTGAGTCGTCCTCTTGACGCAAAAGGCGCGATGTAAATGCAAATTCTTTCACGTTGTATTATTAGGACTGAATCGAAGAATTTTTTTTTACGCAGTTCTGTTCTGCCCGATCTGAAATCTGATGACGGAATGGTGTCACAGGCTAAGACTCAGTGGAATTTGGGGTCCCAATGTTACACTGAGGCTGAGCGGGGCTGATCGCCATCGGTTGCCAATGGCATTGGGCTCACCGCAGTGTTAGTGAGTCTGTGCAATTGCAGCCACAATCGATCATTGCTTCTCCCCCCCAGAGCATTATTCCACAGGTGGGGCTTGACAGCGAACACTCCCACATAGCTCTCTCTCCTCACAGCTCCTGCCATGTTCCAGATGTTTCCCCAGATGTGCAGCGTGCGTCCAATTCCTCCCGTTCTCCCCACTCTTCGCTCTGCAGTGTTGAGGAGATATTTTTCTCTCTCCCTTCCTCCTCCATTCCCACACAGAGCCTGGCACGAGCTCTCTCTCTCTCTCTCTCTCTCTCTCACTAACTTTTTATTGCTTCCTTGTGTTGCTCACAGCTTCTTTGTGCGATGGTTGAGTGCTCCAGCAAGGGTGCAGACAATACTGAACTACTGCAACTCTGAGAGGCAGACGCACACCACAGATATATGTGATACAGGCTATTCCCGTTACTGACCCCAGGCGCCCTTTCATCCTAAGCCCGAGTTTAGTCTATTCAAACCTCGACCAGATTTCCCTGCCTTCCCTGCCGATCCCATCGTAAACAAACACAGCCTTCAATGAGGTTCAGACTGTGGGGTCTCCCGCTATCTCCCTCCACCTCTCCCCACCGCAGAGATCCCCACCCACCCCCCACTCGCCGCCCCCCAACAGTGATAGCCTGCACCTCCCATTGGGAGTGATACCTCCAGTCCCCAGGCGTCTCGCACCCCCACTTCCCCCTCCCCTCCCACCTAGACATGTGCAGGCTGCTTTGTGAAGCAAGTTGGGGAGTGGGGGGGGGGGTGCACTGAGTATACATACAGAGGCAGCCTGCCCTTCACATAGCAGGAGGCTGTGTAATAATAATCCTCGCATTTGATACAGAGCCTAGAAAGTCACACAGGGAATTACTGTTACGTGCAGTGACTGTACTTGTCGACAGGCGCAACAGCCAATTTACGCACAGGACACGTCCCTCAAACAACCACGGAGGGAATGACCAAATTCATCTGGGGGATCGTCAGCCAGGACACTGGGGATGGGGGAGGAGAGAGAGAGAGCGAGAGAGCGAGCGAGAGAGAGAGAGAAAGAGAGAGAGAAACTCCCGTTTTCTTTTTTTCCATTAGTAATGTCCACCCAAAACAGGCGGGTTTGATCGGGGTTTAACATCTCGCCCGACGGACGGCACTTCTCCAACACAGTTCCTGCTGCTTTCCTTCACTGAGAAACTGCGATTTATAAACACAAGTCGCTGTGCAGAACAGGAGAGCGGCTGGGATGAATCAAGCTGTTTATTGTTGGGTAATGTCAAGTCTTGTGTTTTAAAGGCCTGTCTAAATTGTTGGGAAGTCCCAGTGACTAATAAATGTTACACTGAAACATAAAACCACAAATCTCACAAATTCCCATAATCCGGGATAGTGCGGCCATTGCTTTATCCAAAACAAGGCAGATTCCCAAGGCAAGAGCACGCTTACACACACACACACACACACACACACACTGACGCACACACACACACAACGCTGACACACACACACACACTGACGCACACACACACAAACACTGACACACACACACACTGACGCACACACACACAAACACTGACACACACACACACTGACGCACACACACGCAAACGCTGACACACACACACACTGACGCACACACACACACATTGACACACACACACACACATTGACACACACACACAAACACCGACACATACACACAAACACTGACAAAGACGCACACAAACACCGACCCTCGGACACGCACACACATTCCTTAAACAA